CTTTTAGTACTTTAGAAAGAACTCTATTTTGTAAGAAATAGACTCTTTGACTGTAACAGATGGTGGCTACTTGGGGAATTAACAAAGGAACAAAGAACATGGAAAAGATGCAGGTCAAACACCAGATGCTGATGAGACAGGCCTGTTTGCTGTGACACATGTTTGGCATGTGGCCCTAATCTTAGGATTATATTTTATATGTGTGATATAACAGTCTTTCATATTTTTGTTACATGAGAATTATGAGACTGTCAGATTTCAACTTTGTAATCCTTTGACCACTTGAACCCAAGCTTTGGAAATGTATAAAAGGAAATGCATTTCCTCAGCTTGTCAGTTCAGTTCTTTAACCATTAACTGGTTGTTTAAACTTACTTGTTTAGAACTAGAAACTCATTTACTCAATACATATTCTTTGGACGAAATACTGGTATTTTGTTGAATTATTTCTACCGAAATTACATTTGTTAAGACTATTTGTGGACGAACTTGAAAGGTTCTAATTGGACCAGTACTTTGGTAAATTGATAAATGATTGGAAAGGACAAATACTGTTCTGAAGAAGCAGAAATTCCTACAATTACAATACAACAAAGTACAAATATGGCGCAGTCGAGAGCCCACAATTCAACTTTAAGGAATGATATTTTGGTTTATGAAAGTGACAAAACCAGAGCAAAGGAAATAGATGAGTATCTCTCTAAAATAAATGAATTAATGTTGAGAATTAAGGGTAGTGGAGCCAAAGTTGATGGTAATAGCTTTTTGAAATACCATTCATCAACTGGGGCAGCTACAATTCCTGAAGGTATGGCAAACCCTAGTCCTACTCAACCAAAATTCAGTAACTCTGGTATTCATGAAAATGTTTTGGAAAAGACAATATCAAGTCTTTTAATTGATGCTCATGAGAAACCTAATACTACTTTGCTGAGACCCTATTCTGGTAGCAAAGATACTTGGTCCTTTAAGAGGAACTTTCAGACAGCTTGTGAATTAAACCTTTAGGACACAGAGGAGAAAAGAATTCGAATGCTGAGAAAATACACTACTGGAAGAGCCAGAGATGTTATTGAAAGCTTACCCTCCATGGCAAATGAAAATGAAATTTGGGATGCATTGGATGAAGAATTCAATCCAGATCCTATGGCTTTCAAAAAAGATATTGATAGATTGAGACAGTTTAATGATGAAACTGTTCAAAGTTTTATTAGAAGAAGTAAAGAACTTTTGGAAAAATTCCTACCATTCAATAATACAGAAATGGCTTGTGTTACACAAAGGGTTAGAGAGCTTCAACTGTTAACTGTATTCAGGAATGGTCTTAAAGGAAAAATTGTTAATCATGTGGAAAAAGATGGAAAAATTAGCTCAGTGGACCAGTATATTAAACTGGCAAAAAGAGCAGAGCTTTTTTTTCAACAATGCAAGGAAAGAAGATGAAAAGGAATTCAAACAATTTAAAAGAAGATTTGACAATAACCCAATTAATCCAAACATAAATTTTACCCAAAATAGATTTCAACCACATCAAAGAATGGGAAACACAGCAATGGAAAGAGGCACATTCAACAGACTAATACATACTGAACCTGATAAACCAAATGA